GACACTAGGAAAATATTAGTAATTCCAATAAGGCTTTATAAAATATAATGCAGTCTAAAACAATAACGATAAAATAAAAAAGTGTTCAGAATGTTTTCTTAAAGGCGCAACAAGTAATTTTGTATTGGACACTAGGAAAATATTATAGATATGTCACCAACTAAGAACTAACAAATCGAAACGTTGGAGCCATTTTAATAATTTCACTTTTGTACTTATAAAACTGTTACAGACATTGTTTATGCTTTAAATATTGATATTTCAACTGCGAATGAAATTTTATTGACAAATATATAGCCTATTATTAGTAAAATTTGAGCGCGCCACTATTTCATCAAAATTTTTGGAAAAAATTATCAATTATACAAAAATTCACTCTTTTGACGTTTTAATTTTATAGTTGCAAATTAACTCGGTTCTAAATAATATACTCATATAATATCTATATACTTTTCATCTGTAAATATATGTTCAGTAATTCATATTTTCAACTCTTCTAATGGCAGTATTCCGAATTGCTATCATTTTAAAATGGCGTCGTTCTATAAAATAAGTTGGTATCAATAGCAAGACTTTTGATGTGTTTTAGCTTCTATGTTACCACTATAAAACTGTTAAGAAACACATAGTTCTAGGACTGATGGTATTGCGGCAGAGTTAGACTTCTTTTAAAGACAGGATATCTCACGTATTGTTTGGATGAATATTATCTGCCGGGATGTTTTGGCTAAGAAGCTTCTTCCATCCATTATAGAGGCTGAATTTCGAAGAAGTGTTGAGCTAGTGATTTGAGTGTATATTGAATTGACGGATTTTAATCATCAACAACCTTTTTCTGTTTTTAGCAGGAACAAAATTGAAGCTCTAGGTAACGTGCCAGATAAACGAACCACTTTTCCTAATTTTTTTCTAATGACCAATATTACACGACGTTATGAGGTATATATTTATTGGTACGCTAGTCAAATAAAACTGACAAATTATACTTCATTACACGACCTCTAAAATCAATGTCGCTGGTTCTTCTTAAAAGCTGCATTTTATTCTTAGCGACAGCAAATTTATATAAGCGGAATCAATTTGATTTTATAACAGTCATTTAATTGTTTTGGAATTGTAGCAAATTTATCATACTATGAAATAGTTGGGAAACTAACATTGAAGTGACAATATGGTAATGAAAACAAAATTGTGTTTGAAAGCATTCCAATGAAATAATTTTATTAAAGCTACAGAAATCAGTTATAAAATAATTTAGAAATAGTTTTATAAAGAGCATAAAAATCTCGCAGAAAAGTGCTATAAAACTGCTACAAAACAATTTACTTTTTCAGGAAAATAAGTTAATTGTGAAAACGTTTCTGTGACAATTTCGTGATTATTTTCTAACGAATTTTTCATTTTATTTTATTTTATAAACGTTTCTATGACAAATCTATAAAACAATTGTATTGCTTACAACTGTATTATGTTCACGGCTCGTCTAATATAATCAATTAGCATTTTGGAAGTAATTATAAAATACCAACAAAATAAAACTGTTGCAGAACCATGAAATTAACAAATAATTTTGCTGGTTGGAGTGTTACGAATCACACATTGAAAGGTAAGACCTCGTTAGTCCTTAGCTCGCACAAGTTCATACTTCTGAGGGTTGTCGTTCGCAGGGGTGCGACAGCTGGTTAACAGAAAAACAGGTGTGTTTTCTCTCGCTACAGGAATATTTTTAGGTTTTTTGAAGAATAGCTTCATCATATTCAAATCAGGGAACATAAATAATGTGAAGAATTGCAGAGGCATAATCTTGCCATGAATTCCAACAATTCAAGATTGCTTTGTTGAAGTATATTAATTTTTGTATTGCCTAAACGTTTCAACAAATCAACATTATGGATTCTCCATAACGACAAATACACCTACTGATTCATCGAAGTGACATCTTTCCTGCTTTTGAAAAGCGGTATCAAGTATCACTTCATAAGTTACAGAATTTTGGTTACGGTAAAAAAAATCTGCAATGAATCAAGAGTTTTTTGAGAGTTATGACCAAATGAGTCGGAATAACTACCTGTATGTCAACATACATTGTGATTCCAATTTGATCTATTATTATTCAAATTTTCATCTCTGATTTTATGATTACTCTATCAACCTCATTGGTGTCACTATTTGCTGACAATTTCCGATTTTGTCGGTAAATTCATTTTTCCCAAATCATCTGGGACTTCCGAGAGATTTGAATTGCTCGACCGACAGAAGTAGAAAATATTTAAATTGATGGGATTATATTTTTAGAAGTGAATAATTTTCGGGAAAGAAAGTATTTGTTTTAAAAGAATTTTTTCTTTCGTGTAATTCAATGTTTATATGAAAGTAGCTGTTTCAGGAGGACTTTCTATCAGTTTGTGTCTGAAAGTTACTTCATGATCTACACATCCATGTATAGAGTTACTTATTTTCAAATTGATCACTTCCTTCCTTTCTTTGGGAGATTCCCTGATCATTTTTTTTTGTATCAAGATGGAGTAGTAGAAAGCCAAAAACTTTCTTTCTAGAAAATATTTCTTTACGTTGAGTTTAATAAATGTGTTGTTTCAAATTTTATTCGTTATCAGTCATCAATTTGATTTCGTGTTAGGAATCACACGTAAAAAGGTAACGCCTCGTTAATCCTCAGCTCTCACAAGTTTCGACTTCTGAGGGTTGTCGTTCGTAGGGGTACGACAGCTGGTTAACGGAAAAACAGATTTTAAACAGATTTTCAAACAGATGAATAGCGAATCACTTAAACATGAAGATATTGAATATCCTGGAGTTATATAGGACAGTGAATTGTTATTTGTGAGAATAATCAATAGAATATTACTATTCAATATCTCAAACTTTAGAGTTATCTGTAGAGTTACTGAAGACTTATAAGGTCTCTACCTGAGCTATTGTTATATAGATCAATTATAAATCATGCCTTAGGTGTATGAAGTTCTTCGTATTCAAACTGATAAGTATGTTCAGTTAATGAGTAAGTTAATTATGTTAATGAGATACTGCGATTGCCAGCATTCGGAATGGTATTTCAGTCACTGGGGGATTATGCTATTTCAGATCCATTTTACATTTAGACATATTTGAGAGCAGAATTCAGAATGATATAATACTCCTTCACACACTTCTATGTGGGGAAGATTGTGGTCCACACCTTCCAAAAAATATAAATTATCAAATACTGACAAACAAGAAATGATATTCACCACACTAGTTCAAAAATTTTTTTTCACTCGGCCTAATTTACTAACAGTGAGTCTTTTTTGTCTTTAATAAAATTTAACCGAACCTGAAGTATCAAACGTTTCGTGTTCTACTGCGGTAGACATCATGAATGGTATAAGCGTACTGCGAGGACAAATATTATAATTTGAAGTCTCAGCAACGACAAACTCATTTAGTTCGCTTCAACAGTTACTTGCTTTTCGATTATGTATTCTTGATACGAAAAATTCTTCATACAATAATTTCTACCTCCAATCGGAATTTTACTGTTTTTTTTATACTTAAATTTTGAAAAACAATATCATTGATGGTTTTATACAATCAAGTAAAATATATAGAATAATTAGAGTCAATAAGACACAATGGAAAATCTCGTGGGACTGTTCGTGCCTATTAGTTCTATCCTACATGTATTCAATTCATTTGGATCCGATTTCGACTATAAAATACAATATAATCCGGCACATATAATTTGATTTATTGTTTATCACACTTCCCGTATTGTGAATCAGTAATCAGATTCAATCTGTTTGTTCGAGCCCATTAGAAACCCACGAATTTATGCAAGAGTTATGTAGAGGTGCTAGATGTCCATGAAGAACTATGTCGTATTTCCGGTGACTACTCTCGTTGGAAAACGTTGTTTTGCGTGGGCAAAACTCGCTTGTGCTCGGCACGGGCCACTCCACAGTTGTAAGAAATCTTTCTCCAGTGGAGGCTTTGCAACTATCTGAAAGGGATATATTGATAATATTCACCAAAGCGACTTGCTCATTCATCAAAATAACCGTGTCGACTATGTATACACAACCAAAACTAGTTCATTTTGAGTTTTTTCAGGTACAAAAATTAGGTCAGCACTTAATTTGAAAAATATTGGCCAAAAAATTTCTGAGTCAATTCAATGCTTCAGTAAACAGTTACAGACTTTGTCGAAACGTCGGTGAAATTGAAGATAATTGCACATAACACGGATCAAAACCCGAAAATCAGTTCAGCATATTCCTATCCGTGAGAACTTTAGATTTAACATTCCAAACCTTTACGGGAAGAAGAGGTTGATCAAAAAGAAAAACGCAGGTAAAAATCAAAGGCAACAAACATCATTTTACCAGTATAGTAGGGAGCGGATCGATATTGTTATAAAATGACACAAAAACAACAATGTGTAGAGATATTCACAAAATCAAAGAAAAGTTCAGATACAGAAGTACAGCGAGGACGCCCTTTACATGTTTTGAAATTCACGGACTTGGCAGGAAACAAATACAAAAAAGTGGAAAATTTAAATTTCAAGATTTGTGCCCCAAATTTCATTAAATTTAAAAAACAAGTAACGGATATAGGTTATAAATAAATGTCAGATGAAATCAAATTGATATCTGTTAAAGCAACATTGGAGAAAACATAATGAACTAATTGTAATTATTTAGGAATGATAAAAAATCCCAAAATTATTGTTGTGAAACATTTCCTTAGATACGGACATCAAGTGATATTTTTATATAATATTTATATTTAGACATAAGTGAGGTTAACCATTTCTGTATAAAATTGTCAAGTAAAGATGTATTTAAATTCAAGAACAAATGTGAGAATCATAGAATTGATAATTTTTTCTGATATTAAAGTTGAAAATTTGTAGTTATGAAAATTGAGAGGTGGTAACTGAGGAAAGTATGAGATTTTCAATTTTTTTGTCAACAACTAGATTCTTCTCAACGCAACGAAGGGGAACGCCACGTAAATTTTCTGTCTCCAGAAATTTGAAAAATATTATAAAGAAAAGTTATAAATTGTATGTAATTGTATTGAATATCAATAAGTAAAAGTAACTTCAGTGAATACCCACCTCATAAACCAAGTTGTAGTCCGAGTTCCAAATTCTAGCTCCGTAGGATAGAAAATTCACAGCACACACCAACATTGGAGGAAAACCAGGTATTTACCGATTCCACTTCAAATAAAAGATATGCATATATAAAAGAAATTGTCCAACAATGAAATAACAGGACAATCAAAACAAACTTTAAATCCAGAAATTTCGTTTGCAAACCAAAATAAATCACAGTGACCCTGAATAATCAACTGACATTTTACAGACGAAGAGTGCGTTCTGATATTCAAACTAAGTTATTTCCTTGATAGGTAGATAATATATTTTCCAATAAAAACTAATTTCTCCAGTCGATTGATACAATTTGTTTCAGAATACCGAATGTATGCTCAATAACTACACAACATTGGAAGAATTCGACCATCAGTTGAAAATAACAGATTCGTACACAGCATCCTAGTAATTCCATATTAACTTCTATAGGTAAGTTCGTTCTATTTTCCAGGTCCTCGTATTCGGATAGCTTTCTCTGTATGATTTGGAGTGCTTCTTGGATCGGAACGTTTGTGTAAAGGCATTCCACGTCGAAACTGATTAGTTGATATTGCTACGACTTCCATAGTTCCTAGTAGTTCGACACAATGCCTTGAATTCTTCACAAAATCAGTTCTAGAAATGCTTGAATTGAGTAAGGACACAGATCTATCAATACTTTTTTTAGTTGTCTTTTAAATGTATGAGTTGGTAGGATTATTAGATTGTATGGAATAGAGTTGTAAAGGTACAAACCAAAAGTATTCGGTGGTCTTTTTGATAATTTCAGGTTTTTGAAAGGCACATAAAAGTTATGTTTTCTCCTTGTATTGTGAGTATGAGTGTTACCGTTTCTTGAAAAGTTATTTCGATTGCCATGTGTTTATGTGATTAGCTCAAGAACGAATATGCCAGTAACTGTTGATATTTTGGTATTTTTTGAAAAAAAAATCGACATGAGTGATCAGGTGGACAGCCCACGAGACATCATAGAATGCGCATCTGAGACACGAAAGCATTATATCCCGCTGGGGTATTTCCCCAAACAATAATTTCATAGAAAATTCTGGAGTGGATTTCGGCATGGTACCTAGTATTTGAGGAGCACTAAGAGCACTTTTTCAGTTTCTTAATTGACAGCACTTTGAGTTGAAATTTTCACTTAGTTCAATGCAGTTAGATCTGAAAGATAAGGTGGAATCGAAGAATACTTCTAGGAATTCAATATCTGGTACTATTTTAATTATACTGTTATTTAAATTAATAATCAGGGTCGATAACTCCTTGAAGTTTTGATGGATATGAAATACTGTATAATTAGTTTTACTGAAGTTCAGTAACAGGGATCTGCCTAAGGAACAAGCAGATAACCGAATTTGTAGTGATTCATAATCTTTAGCTATTAGTAGCAGAATGGAGTTATCTGTATACAAGGTGTTAGAAGTATCCAATGAGGTCATGGGTAGATCAATAAAATATAAAATGAATAATGTACGCCCCAATATAGATCTTTGTGGAACTCCTAATGCATTAATATACATGATGAGAAAACGGACCTCCACAATTCGGATATTTCAACCATTTGAGATCTATCTTTCAAGTACCAGTCAAACCAATCATAGGCAATGCCTTTGATTCCGTACCTATACAACTAGTTAAGTAACCTGCCATGGTGAACGCAGTCAAAAGCACAGCTAAAGTCGCGAAAAATTTCAGTCGGTCTCTCTCCACCTCTAATGGCTTCAATAATCTCCTCATAGATGGATGTTATCGCTGTCAGTGTGGAGTGTATATGAAAATTCTCCTTCTGCAAAAAAAAGGGTTCCTGTTCCAGAGATTCCATTAGAGCCACTGGATGGTTTATTTTTCATCTTATTATTCATAATGAACATGGAGATGGAGATATAGTTTATCAGGCCCACGTTTTGGTTTAGTTTTCGTTGGAGTTCTCGGCTAGGTACGATTTTTGCAGTTACCTATTCAATCAGTGGCTACTTATTAGACTTTATGTAATATTTCATGTCTAATATATCCAATAAACGGGTTATTCGGAAATCACATCTATTTATAAAGGATCCACAAAAGGCAATAATACCGCACATCACAGTAATGACAAGGTGTACTTGTATAATAAAGTGATAAAAAATCACATAAGTGGTTATAGTGGAACTGATTGAACAGAACATTTGTCTACGCATAATATGGTAGTCTCATCAACAATGAGCTGTTCAAGAATTTTCAATCCGAGTGTGAGTGACGAATACATATATATATATGAAGAACACTGGTATTTGTAGAGAGGAAAAACAACGGAGATTGTTGTTTTAATTTCACTGTTAATTGCACTATCTAACAAGCATTTAACATTCGAGAAATTAGTGTTACTAGATGAAGAAATATTTCATTTCACTTCGAAAAATCAAGATTATCGTACACAAAAATGAGCAGCTCACCAAATACGGCAGGAAATTACGGTTTCAAATTCAAAATCAATGAACTCTCAGAATTATATAATTAGAAGTTCAACTATACAACATGAGACAAGCAGATCACATAAGAGTTTATCGGTACTGACTTTCTGTTAGGGGTAGAAGAAATATGTGAACTTTGATATAACTTTTGGTATGTGAAAGTAGTCTTTATAAATCATGAATTGTGTTCATATATGACTGTTACAATAGTCCGAAATCGGTTTCAGTTATTTCTTTTAGAGACTTTCAGTTATCAGAAATATAGTATCCTGCGGTATCATCGGCTTGTGATATTTTTACAGTTTTGGACAAAAAATAGACCAATCTGAAATATTCTGAATTTTCTGAACGTGTTACCAATTTCAACGTATTAAAATATATTCGATAAACTATGTTTGAAGAAGTTTTCATCGATTCTAGCAGTAGCGAATGGCTTACTGTAACTAAGATCAATAAACACACATTAATATAATTTGCTATTATTCAAGGTTGACTGAATCTCCGGGAGAAGGTCCAAGATTGCATCTTGAGTGGATAGAGCCCCACGAAATACAAACTGGTTTTCTGGCAGTCTGTATTTCACAGAATACCTACTCACATAGTCCATTTTGGGAAAAAAAAACGAACACCTTAGTGACCCCAATAATCTAGTCTCACTTCACCATTAGATTTTTCATTGTACTATTATATCAATAAAATTTTTATACAGTCTTAGAATAAAAACTTCGATACATAATGTTCATATGATTTGGACATTGCCGACTGTTTCAATATTCTGTTGATCATCCACTGATTTACAAAAAATTTTACGGCTCTTTTACGTCAAACAATTTACAGGGATTCAAGGAAAACTTTGATTTCATATCCAACTCCATTTAGGTTTCTACAGTGTTTAACTGGGAGTCAAATAGTAATAAAAAATAATGATAATGAATGAATCTCTTCTAAAACAAAGCCCATTAATGATGAAGTCTTTCATTAGTTCGGACTTTCATTATCTAGTATTATACAGGGCTTTTCATGATGAGCGTTAATTAGCCGTTTCTGACAAACTACTTAACGGATCAACCTGAAAATATCACAGTATGCATAAGTCAATATGACCTACACACCTAAAATATTTCAGACGAAGCGGCGTTGTCGCTTCTACTATAAAGTAGCGGCTTCTTTGATTTAATATCATATTATGATTCACTATCACTTTGTCAACAAATTCATATACTATTTCCCTATACCTATCTATTACCGTTTAGAAGATATAAATTAATTTCGATATTTTTTTTACCAAACATGAAATTTTATAAATGCTCATAATCTTGAACTCTCTTGCACTAAAACGATCAAACTAGTGAGAATCTCACTAATAATGAAATTTCTGATCTGTTCTCAGTTTCCAAAATACTAAAAAAAAGTCACCAATCAGACTTTCCTTGTATTTCTTATTTCGACGAATTCTTCGTATAACAAATCAGGAAAAATCTAAATCCATTCACAGGATTTCGATAGCAGCTAATTTTGATTGAATACCGTTTTATGTTTCTTTCGAATATGACAGAGTATCCTTGATCCAAGACCAGATCCAAAATCCAACAAAATACTTCAACCTTGTTTCTGGAGGATGCACAAGAGTCTCTATGGTACTTTATTGCAAAGCCTAGCTTCGATCCTGAGCTCTCATTTCATCTAGTTGCACTGAAAGAGCGACCTCTCATTTAGCTGTCAATGCCGAAGTTTGTTTTTGCAATATACCACGTGGGTATCGTTAAATATATTGGATGAATAATGTTTCAATCATTTCCATATTGGACCGTTGAGTTCAATAATGCATTCGTGATTCAACCTAGAACCATTGAAACAGATCTGTCTGTTGATTTTATCCTCTAAATGAATTTGAATATTTCCTAATTTGATGCCCATGAAGTGCCTGAGAAATTTTTTCAATATCTTCTAGAAAATTATTTTCTCCGGTATCTTCAGAACTGAGAACAGCAAGTATTATTTTGCAAAACATATAACTTCTCCCAAGAACTTATGAGTCCCGAAATTCACACCACGAAAACTGATTGAGGGTCTAGACATGAAATTGTACTTTTTTCTCACAAACCTCTAAAAGTTGGGATTTACCTGTAGAACATGAACTGCATCATAATAGCTTATATTCTAGTGATTATAGAGACCGCAATAAAGAAGTAATATTTCATATTTGATCATCAAATTACCGAAACTTTCGAGGATATCGAAAAAAAAAAGTTTTTTTGCATATCACCTAATCATTATCGATAAAAAAATATCCTGAAAAAAGTCAATACATGTGTTCAATAGATTTTCAAATTTCATGCAAATGGAAAGGTACAGCAAAATATATAATTTCAAATTTTTTTTATTTCCTTATATATCTAAAACAACAGAAGCTAGGATCAATTCATTGGCATCATTCGATAGTACCACAATGACGCTTTTGCCACAATTCAACTTAGTCTCTATCTCTTATCGTTTACGAGATCCCTATGTAAGGAATCGAATTTGAATATCATACTATTTATCATACATCCACTAGTGCCTACATCTTCAAGAAACTGTTTAATAGTTTTTAATATTCTGAACACTTTCTGTCTTATCATTTCCAAAGATATTTTAAATTTTCCTATCCGTTATTGATGCATTCGTTCAATGCTCATCATGCACAAAAATGCACAAAAAATGCGAGTAAATAACTATCAATGCATAATCCTGAATGAATTTACATTTACTTATAAATGAAAATAATTTGTTAGATACTGATAATAAAAGTATTAAAATAATTGTTCTGTTATTTTCTCACATTGGCATGTATAATTGTTAAACGCCGATTGAAACAAGTAGACAAAATAATTTTACAGAAGAAACTTCATTTTTCAATACCTGGGGTTTGGTGACTGATGCAGATGATGCAGATGTGAACTCAAATTAGATCTCCCTTAGTATATTGCTAACACATGGGTTTTGATGCTTCATAAAGCTCAGATCAGACTTTCTTTGAAGTATTGTTCTCATGTATGGATCTCAACTCCTAAGCATACCCTGAAGCTACTGGATTCCATCCAGAAAAGAGCCATTCGCCTGATTAGAGGAGCGAACATCACTTGCAACATTGATAGTTTGGAACATCGAAGAAAGGTTGGAGATTCATCTCTCCTACAGATACTTTCACGGTAAGTGTTCAAGTGACTTGGCACATTTGATTTCACCAAGAGCGATAATCAGATATACGTGACGGACTGTGGCTGCTCATCGTTTCGAGCTAAAACTCAGTACATACCGAAATTCACTTTTCAAACACTCTTTCATTTGGAGAACTGCGCTTATAAGAAACAAACTTCATGAGACCCTTTTTTAAAAGGATTTAATCTCCAGCGATTCATATTCAATGTGAAACCCTAATTTCGCACAGGCACAGACTCTTTTTCAGAGATACTTTCACGGGTGTTTGAGTGAGTTTTCTTGCCGAGGGCATATTTTTTGTTCAAGTCGATATTCATATAAAAGTAATAGTTTCGAAAGTATTTTTCTTTCGTGTAATCAAATGTTTATATGAATGTGGTTGTATGGAGAGGGCTTTTTTCTCTAGATCTTCTTCTTCCAGTTTGTGTCTAAAAGTTACTTCTTTGTAGGTTCTACACATCTTTGTGAAGTGAGAATTTATTGTGAAATCAATTCTTTCGTCCTTTCTTCAAAATACCATTTTTTTGTATAACAGACTTGTCAATTTTTTTTCTCGTGAAAATAATATCAATACCCTCTGCTCCCTCATGTTGCGCCAGTGCAAGTTATTGAAAAATGCAATGGCTGTTCGAGGTGGCACCCAGCAGAGACGGCTTATTAATAATAACCAATTTGTAGTGAATAAAAAGATTAAGTTTCACCATAACCAGTAGGCTCTCAGGTTAATTCCGTAAGGAAAATTATCCATGCACCAATCGTGCGTAACAAATACTTGACACTTTGATGCTATCGAACTTCATGTTTTATAGAACATGATTTCTTGATTGCATCGACAAATCTTTCATTTTCAGGATTAATGCTAAGAAAGTCAATTTGTATGCAACTATGATGAATTTTATTGTCAAATCAATGAACTTTCTCCATAAAACTCGAGAGCCTCGAGTGGGTAAGAGTTATGGGATTTCCATCAATATTATTTACATTTTTTTTTGTCAACAACAACATAACATGATGTAGTTCAATTTTTTTCACATTTACACATATGGGGGTTTATGTGATTCAAATCCATTCCTTTTGTAGAACTTTATGAAGTTTACATATTGATTATGCATAACAATGTGTCTTTTTCATACCATAACTTCTGGTATCGTGTTAAGAGAGGAACGTAATGATGATAAAATATATTTAGGCAATATTGGACGACCATACATCAATTTTCATTTACTGACGTGAAGTCAGATCTGTATGTGAATAGTACCTACTTATTGGATGAGTTCAACAGTGAATAACTGACCTAATATTTTGTCTTCACTGAACAGTTTTATGAATTCCGTTCTAGTTTTCATCAGAAGAGATAAATTGATTTTGTGTCAAATATTGAATCATTCTGCAATGATTATATTTCTGTTATATTTTCAAATGCAAAAGTTCAATTTCATACATTATTTTTCAAAATCTTTCAAGTGTTAAAGTGAGAACAAGTAACATTAATGGAGTTTTTTGTTTTGACAAATGTCATACCTTCACATAAATTTCATTTTTCAATGGGCATGATGATTTGATAATCTTTGACTCTAAAGGGAAAGTTGATTGATACAATTTTCATTATTATCAATATGAGTTTTGGTATAGTTCCAGCAAGTTACTGTATATACTGCTGAGATTATCATTTTCAGTTCTCTTATTCATACAATTAGAAGACACATTAATTTCAACCATTTCAAGAAAAAGGCGTTTGGCAATATTTTTTATGTTTTACTTACATAATAATGTGAGAACAGACAATTCCCCTTTCTGCTTCGATAAGTTTGTTGGGGATTAAAATGTACACCAATATGACTTGGCACAATCATGTTGCTGGAATTGCAAAGGCTGGTTTCCAATAGCTTGGAACACTGTTCCGAACCAGAAAACTGTACACACCTCAAAAACTTTTGATGCTTCATCAAGCTCAGATCAGACCTTGATTGGAGTATTGTTTTCACGTCTGGAGCTCCGCCCCTAAGCATACCCTGAAGCTGCGGGATTCCTTCCAAACAAGAGCCATCCGCTTGATTGGAAATGCAAGCTTTGATAGTCTAAAACATCGAAGAAAAGCTGTAGATTTCATTCTATTCTATAGACACTTCTATCGAAAGTATTCAAGTGGACTTGGCACATTTGATTCCATCAAGAGCGATACATATCAGAAATACCCGATGAACTGTGACTGTTCATCCTTCCGAGGTTCAACTCAGTACACCTCGAACTTTACTGTTCAAGAACTCTTTCATGTGGAGAACTGCGTTTATGTGGAAAAAATCTCCTGAGAACGTTTTTCCAAATGAATTTAGTCTCCAGCGATTCTAATTAATGTGAATTGCTACTTCCTCACAGGAACCTCTCTCAGAGCGCTTTGAGGATTTTCCTGTAGTGCTTGTATTTTGTTCCTGAATAAAGCTGTGTTTAAG